GGCTCCGTCAATCAGGTAATACCAGCCGTTACGGATTGGAGTTTTCGACTACACCAGCATAATAGCGAATAAAAGGGGAAACGTGGCGATTATCGCAGGTCCCCTGATACCCCCCCCCTCCCTCGCCTGCCACCTTGTCTCGCGGAGTATGATAGTGGTACCTACTTACTGGTACTGGTACTCGTGCCAGATCCGGGCTGTGACGTTGACAGGATACGGCACTCCTCCCCCGGCTGTGTCATGGGTTAGGTTTTATTCCCATCAAACCGGGCTGGGTTGGATGAAGAAGTGTCACATTGCCTTTCTGTCTCTCTGTCTGCCTGTCTTGTATGATACTCTACCCGTTTGCTGGAACTGTGACCGCACAGTACTCTTGGTTAGTAGGGTAGACCGGGCGCGTGAAGGTGTGAGCGCGGAAGGAAAGTCCGGGGCGCCAGAAGATAGGGCGAGTGAGTGGCTGTGGTTGTGAGTATTGGGGCGCGCAGGGGGGGGAGGTGGGTAGGTTTATGTGGAGGCTATGATATGTGCGATAGAAATATATTTTGGACAAAAAAAATATTAATCAAGCCGTAATGGAAAAAAAAAAGTCACCTTTAAATATCATCATAATGTGCTAGAGAAATTACAAGTAGAACCCTCCTCTCTCTCCCCTTCCGGGGAAAGTATCATAACTTGAAGGGGTTTTTTTTAAGTACGATATTATGATAGAAGCAGCCCCCTAGCGTCCCCGTGGCACAACTTTTTTTCTTTTCTTTTCTTTTTCTTGTATGATTGATAAGTGGATGCCTATTAACTTATGGCCGCGTGCTTCCTTCCAGTTCGCCTCCCTCTCCCTCTCCCTCTCTCTCTTTCTCTATTCACTCAAGTCAAAGCCATGTCAAGTATCTACGGTACGTTAACTGCACGGCTCAGCCGCCGCTAAGGCAGGTACAGTTACAGTTATCATACCGGTGCCTGGATGGCTTTTTTTTCTTTCTTTCTTGGTTATCCGGCTATGTTACTGGTTGGGCTGTTTTTTTTTTTTTGTTTTTCCTTAAGAAATGGTTCATAAGAGTTACCTGTTAGCCTGTATACTTGTGGGCCTATTGAGGTAGGTAATAACTTAGGTAGCAGCCAGTTATAGCGTTATCTGTGTGATCGTGACGGCAATTTAAATAAATAAGTCAATAAATTTAATACAGTTACAAAGTATCATGTTTCAGGCGAAGGGGGATGGGGAGGGGGATGGGGGGGTATCATAAAAAAAAAAATAAAAAAAAAAGTTCGGACGATAAGTTCCCTATCGTGCCGGCATCTTATCCTGCTCTTACAAGTAAATTACTCGTGCAAGGTATGCCTGGACCGCACTGCAACCGACAGACTTTCATTTCCTGTGTGTTTTGGGGGGGGAAGGGATGGAAAATGGTCATTTTTTTTTTTGTTTTTACTAACCATTCTTTTTTTTTTTTTTTTTTTTTACCAACCTGCGCAAAGGACCATATTATACCACACAATGCGTCCGACTACCCATTTTTTATAACCAACAAAAAGGTCAATTGCAGGCCTTTATAACGTGTTCGCAAGGTGCTAACCACGTTATCGGTAATGAATACGATAGTTGGCAGGTGGCCTGCTCTTCCGGATACCAGGCCAGGGCTGACAACTAAAGGAAGCTTCGAGGGTGTACTGAGGAACAAACAAGTAACCGTTCAACCAAGTATATTGTAATACTCTCTGTCGAAGTCTGCCTTTTCTATTATAGAAACACGCGGTCCTTAAATACACAAATCTGTTCATGTCTAGCATGAACGAAACTAATCAAAGGTATTGTCACCAACCTGACTTAGCGAGGAAAGGGTTTTCACGTGATGCATAGTTATGAGTTACAGGTATGTTATTGTTTCACACATATGACTCATTCGGGTCACATGATTTGTAATGTGTGGCATTTGTGATGCTTTCGCACATGGCTCAAATATG